AGAGAGAGAGAGAGAGAGAGAAACGGAAGGAAAAGCCTTTAATCTGTTAAGTAGAACTGGAGGAGAATCTTTTGATCTCAAACGTCTTATTCGTCAACATCGCATTCGAAGAAATTGCTCGATAATTATGAGGATTTTAATTGCTTCGAGAAAAGAAGACGAGCATTGACATCGAGGCCGAAATATTTCGTGATTGTAACGCTTGAGAACTTCAATCAGACTACTCCCAAGATATGAATTTCGCGATTATTAAATGTTTTTATGTTTTAAATGTTTTAAGTGCACATTTGAACTTGGGGAAAAGATTCTTCTTCTTTCTTTGGTAAAACATTTGTAGAGATACTTATGCGCGAGTACAAGGAAAACGGGAAAACAGAACGAATGATTTCCATCCAGAAATCTCGTTCTGTATCTTTATCTAACTTGAATTGCTTGCAATTTAATAAATAAGCTACAAATGAAATTTTTATGCAACAACTTTTGTGTTCATTTACAATTGACTCTCTAAACGTATATGCACAACATTTAAAAAATATGAACGAAGAAAGAGAGAGGGATAAATTCGAATTAATTAGCTCCTGGCAAATTAATTCTAGCAAATTATCCACTTGATTTAAACGAAACGTAATATTTTTAAAAAAAAGTCTACACTACACATTTTGCATTATCAAATTTTTCTTCGCTTTATCTATCTATCTACAAAAATTAACACATACCTATAATTCTAAAAATATTGCATGGATTATTAAAATTTCCAAGTATAAATAAGTATAAATTTAAAATTAATTTTAAAACGCACTTTACACAATACAATTCTATTCTCACCTCAATCTGGCCTCTCTGGTGCTGCTGCAGCTGGTGCCAGAGGACGTGACACTGTTGATACTTTTGCTTCGTCGGCTTTTCAGCGAATCGCCGAGGTTGTAGACCCCGTTCGCCGTAATGGAGAACGACCTGAGCCTGTAATATTCCACCCCATCCTCCTCACCCTCATCGGCTCCACCAGCGCCACCGCGTTTCGTTTCGACGAGCATCGGCTGCAACAAAAGGAAACAATTCTGTTAATTGATGTGCAAGATTCCCTCTGTGGAATTCTTCTTACAGATTTTATTATTTTCATTTTCTTCCAGTTGATTTGATACGAATGAGGAGACGATGAATCGTAGAGAAAAATAACGGAGAAGATCATAAGTCAAGGAATAACGAACGAATGGAGAATCTTTTTTGTGAATTTTGTACGAAATAATTGAATTGACATAATTGAATGAGTGTACAAAAGAAGGATTTACGTTGTTAATTATAATTAACGATAAAATTTTCAGGAAACATTTTTATTAAAATTATAATGGGAATATAATAAGAGAAATAAAAAAGGAGAAGAGAAATGAAATAATTATGTAGCATTATTTTCGTCTTTTTATTTCGTGTTATCGTGTAATTCATTTATTAACAAGTGAATTAAAACAAATCTATTTTTTTTCAGATGGAATAATAATAAAATTTTGTTCATTAAATTTTCCAAAAAAAAAAACCTACCTACGCGACAGAAGTGACAGTTTGCGGCCTCCAACGTAGTCATAAGTTGAATGCAAACGTAATTAAGCTAGATGTTGGGTGTTCTCAGAGAAAACCACAAATTGTGTATATGTATATACGACAAATAGCAGTTAGCAACTCAAAATATAACTGGCTACGATTCAAGACTAAATCTACACAGTGTGGCCAACATTTCCTCATCATTTTTCCATTCTTTGAAATAATGAAAATTAATTTTAAAAATCTATATTTAACTTTATATCATTTCTATATAATACAATTCCATATATGATCGATTGAACTGCAATTTTATATACAAATTATTACAATATCATATAACGTATTAACCGTTTATTATAATTTTAAATCTTGTTTCATGTATCTTATTCACTTCCTGTTGATACTGATTCATTAAATTCAATTAAAATCGATGAGAGTCACACTTAATTATCCCTCGTCAGACTGTGTAAAATAATTATTAACTTGATTTATTTAATACAATAATTCTCTGTGAGAGTTGATTGCAAATAATATAATAATTAAAAAAAATATATTATCACGAATAATCAAGAAATTGTATTACCATGAAAATGAACACCTTATACACGATATGCACCGTGAAAGCAGAGTTTGCCAAGTGAGAACAGTTTCTCGTTAATTATATTCCGTGTGAATTGTTTCCACAGAAGTTGAAGTCGGGCCACAGATTCGGAAACGTCCTGAATTATCGCGATTAGCATGATTGAACTCGATCGGACCACTCCTGGAAACGAGATTATTCTTTTGAAAGAAACTTGAGGATTGAGAAGAATCAGATCTGAAATAACATGGGATGGAAAGAAGATTGGCGCTTTTCACGTGAATAGAAGTCGGCTTTCAAACGTATACTCCTCGCATAGTTTGCAAGTGATGAAGGCATGTGTATTACAGTTTACATTGCTAGAGAAACTTTCGTACGATAGGGTATATTACTTTACTCTTGTAGAATACGTCTAAGCTATGCTGGAAATTTACATAGATTTGTTGGTATGGTGTATTTATTAACTATTTATTAACTTTAGCACGTCTACAGTATTTTTCTGAATAAGAGTATAAAAATTTATGTTATTTTGACGAGATGGTAACAATATTTTTTTTTGATAAAAGGAGGATAATTTACGTGATGGACATTTTTATGTGTTATTACGTAAAAATCTTTTGATTTGAAAATTTAATAATTCCAATCCAAATATCCAACTATCCTTAATACGTTCAATAATCGATATTTATGAATAAATGTATACAATATTTAATCATAGATATGTAATACATTGCTATCTAAATTATAATAATATATTATTACTACTACTAATAATAATATTGATTCTGGCTCGAATACTCTGTGTATAATTTAAGAGAAATTAATTTTTTAATTGAATTCAGTTGGATGGAAATGATTGGACGTTAAAACGATTCACTTGCAATAATCTTTTAGTCATCGATTAAAAAATACATAGAATTATTATTTTAATGTAATTTAATTCATAGATACAATTGTTTGAATTATTGTTTTATATATCATATTCGATAGATTATAGATTTTTATACGAAATCAAATTTTTATGAATATAACGCGCATATTCTATAAGTTTGTACACATTAAAATTTTACACGAACGCGTAAAATATCAATAATCAATTAAGACAATTACAATTCTATTCTTTCCTAATAAAACACGTATTTCGATATTAAATAAAATTACTCTTCACAATTTTAACAATCTAGAAGAATCGAAGAAACGTCTTGATTTATTTAAATCAAGTGATCGACAATCGAAATCGTATCATTTTAATTTGATTGGATAATTCTATTTCCATGGATCGAGTTAATAACTTCATTTCCACGTTTCATTCGTCGAATCGTTTTCTCATTTTCCCATACAGGTTAATATCGCACCACGTGCGTTTCATCGAGGCGAGAGGAACCGCGTTTCGAATGAAATCTGCTGGAAATGGTAGCCGTAGAATGGAAATCCTCGATGAATTTATGCACGTGATATTCTCGAGTGTGAGCATCGATTTGACACGGTTAAATGTCGAATTTTTCGTTCCGCTCTTGAAATTTTCGACTTCGATGCCTTTTGACGTGAAATGTCGCGGAACGAGAATTTCGTTTTATTTTGTTTTTCGAGGGGAAAATCTGTTTGCAATAGCAAGTAATCCGATTAGCCAGCCGATTGTTATTAAATGATGGAAAGCTATTTGGATCAATCGTGACATTACGTTATTCTGAAATGTAAATATGATATATTCGATAATCATATGTAAATGATATTGATCCGTTATTATTTTAAATTATATTGGATGATAAAACACGTCTTCTAGAATAATTTATTATATGTAAAAAAATGTATAAATTTTATTAATTTCTAAATTTCATTGAAAACAAATATACGAATATTGAAATTGAAAAGATTGTTTCTTCAATACTTCGTTATCCATTCAGAAATATTAGATCTATCGTTTAATGAATTAATATTTGATTAATCATGACCTCGATCAAATTAATGCTTCAAATGTTAGAGATAAGAAATGAGCGATCTGGCGGATGAATAAAGATTAGGGTCAAAGTGAATCCTCGCACATCGGTGTGCCCATTACGAGAATTAAGGGTATTGTTGTAAACTGACGTTTTAGCCTAATTCCTGCGTGAGCATGAAATTCAGCTGACATCAAAGTTTCTTCCTTATAATTTAATTCCTTGAGAAATTTTCAGGTCATGTGCAAATTACATTTTCTAATTTGAAAAGAATTTTCAAAGAAGATTTAAAATTAAGATGTTAAAAATTTGTGAAACGTGTGAGATATTTGTAATTAATATTAATATTTCTCGATCATTGTATTTAAAAAGAATTATCCAAGAGATTATTTTCAATGGAAAGCAAAATATATTAGTTACATAGATAGATTTCTAAAAAAATAATTTTTTAATGTGGCAATTAACAGAACATCAACAGAAAGCTTTTACCAATTTGTTTCCAAGTATTATAATTAAAATTATTAAAAAAAAAAACAAACGTTTTATCATAAAAATTTATTTATAATAGTATTACCGATTTTATTATTTTCATATAAAATAGAATTATTTTTTCTTTAAGAAAATCTCAACTAATCCATACAAATTAATAAGAATTAATATACTTCAAATACATTTTCAAACCCATTTTAATACATAATTATATACAACATCGTTACATTTAATCATCACATTTCATCTTATAAAAGACAGCCACCTGTCATCTATCATATATCACCATTTCAGAGAAACAATTTACCTAACACGAAAATCCGATCCGAGAATACTTTTTCTTTTTATCTCCATCCTTTCAAGTCTCTTCTCAAACTCCTCCTCCCCCCCCCTCCCCTCCCCTCCCTCCCCCTCCGGAAACAAGCGTCAAACTTGTGAACCCGGGAAAAGACATCACCGATCTCTGGCAATCTCAGGTTTCGTTTCGACGACGTCCTCCTCGTCGGAGGACGTTTCGCGTGGACCGGATGAAAAATCCGATTCCACATTGAAAGAGTCGTCAGCTCGAATTATGTCGATTCGATCCGTGGATGGAGAATCGTCCCTTTTCCACCTTTCGACAAATTCTCCCCGACGGATTCCCCGTTAATCCTACTGTTCCTTAATCCAACTTGCCACGGATCTCGATTTTCTTCCTTTTTCGTGTAGTTAATTCGATCAACACGAATGATGGAGAAACGAGTTGATCTGTCGTTAGGCTTTGGATAGATACGCGTTGTAATGGGATGGAATTAAAAAATTAAAATTAAAATTATTCTTATTCATAGAGTAGGGCAGAGTATTTAATTAAATGGTTTGACACGCGTAAGGAATCGTAATACTCGCATAATTGTTATTTTTAATTTTTATTTTCTCAGATCAGATCAGATATATCTTTATATTCTATGCAATTACTAAATTTTTTTTCATTATCCGATTTTCGAAGTGATTGGATCGATGTGAACGAGATTTAACATGTTGACGAATCACTGCCTTCCTCGATATAACTCGTAATGCTTTTCGAAACGTGAAAAATGTCAATGGCCGTATCGTCTAATTCCTGTCAAAACCGATAGAAAAAAAACCTGTAACAGTAACTTGTCCCTATTTCTCGGCAAATAACCCATCGTTTCAACGAAGGTTAAAGACGGCGATGTTGCACACGATCGAGAGGATCATCCCGTTCATCGTCGAGTCCAGTTACATCGACGTCTCGATTTGGTGAATGCCGTTTAACCCTTATACATAATAAATTATCGCATTCGTGACAAATTTTGACAACCTTGGAATTGGAAAAATCAAATATCCAAGTTGTGTAAATATGATATTACGAGTTGTTTCGTAATATAATTACGAAGTAACACCGTTATTTATAAAATATCGTAGAGTCGAGGAAGGAAAATGTAAGATTTTAAAAATATTTTTTTTTTTTATTTGCTGGAAAAGAAAAAGAAGATGAAATTGTCAAGAGAATAGCGTTTAGGGAATAATCTACCGAGTCAGTTAATACTTACTATCATAAATTAGAAAATAAAAATATTCTGGGCTAATCTATCTGTTGAAATATATATTTTTTAAAGTGTTATTGATTTTTATAATAATAATAAAAATTATTAGTATTAACACTAATATTTTATTATTATTTGTTTGTAGGTATTTATCCTATATAAAAATGGCCATGTTTTACAGTTAAATTGTTCGGTGTCCGGGAATTTATTCGTCCTTTTTTGAAGTGACACGTCATGACTGCGCCGAATTTTAAGGATCTGGGCAAATCTGCGAGAGACGTATTCACAAGTGGCTATCATTATGGCAAAACTCTTATCAAATTGGGCGTTAAAGCGAAATCTGACATACTTGATATGGGCAGTGATTTACGCTTGATTTGCGACACATCAAAAGTAATTTTCCAAAACATTTCCTTCAAGTTTTATAATTCGTAAAAATAAATTTGAATAACTCGTATCGCGTGTAAATAATTTCGAGTGAATTTTGAGAGAATTGAAAATCTACAAACGATTTAAGTTCGAAACTCATTTTTGCGATACTAAGCAATCGAATGGAGTTTGATTAAAATTCAAAATCACGTTGGGAAAAACAGCGATACGATTATTTATCGTTGTGCGTGCATTTAATATGCAAATTTCGAACGTAGAAAAACGTTTAACCTCGAAATCCAATAATAGATTTCGTGAGCAACAGTTCGACTACTGCTTTCATCCTTATGAAATATTTGAAAATTTTATTTCCACACTACTTCTATCATTTATAATTGTAAATCGATATTATATTTTTTCTTAATTTTTTTATTTTGCATCTCGTTGTTAAAATTTCTTCAGTATTTAATCAAAATTAAATATTTACGATCGAATCGCTGATGATCAAAGAGTATCCAAATATCCACGCATATCTAAATTAACGGATACTAAATATTACTTGTATCGTTAAAAATACCAATAACTTTTAAAATTGGACCGACGGATTAAAATGATCCATTCGCAATTAACAGTTGACCGGTACCATGGATTCGCAATACAAAACGAATTACGGAAATTTTCTGCAAAAATGGACGACGGATAATACTGTTACATTGGGCCATAGTATTGACGATCTCCTAATCCCAGACGTTGGCGTGCAATCGGAGATTAGTTATAATCCAACCACAACTGCCAAATTGCTAAAAATTGGTACCAAATGCAGCAAGGAGCTGTTCAGCGCGTCGTGTTCGATCTGTTAGTCGATTTCATTGTTTAACATTTGTTAAATTTACAGTCGAGATAGATAAATGATTCTAAAGATGACTATTGCGCATCTCACAGATGTCTAATTTTAACAATTATGGTGTATACAGAGCTTTCAACTTCGTTCAATTCGTGGAGCATTGAATGGAAGAAAAGCAGATAATAATTGTTTGCCGATATAAGATTATTTTAATAACAGTTTGCGATGGTTATTTTGATTTATATATTTTTTCAGGATTAATAAATAAATGAAATAATTTATTTTATAATCATAAATTATATTTTGATAATAATTTAATCGTTTCTATCTTTTTAATTTAATATATTTTTTTAATCATGTTATAATAATTTCAATTTTTTCCGTGATTCGCATTAGAAGAGTATGGTATAAAGTTGAAAATTGTAAAACTTGTTCGAGAGTTCAGGATAGTTTTTCCAAGTTTAGAAGAAAATTAATAAAAGATTAGCAAGAAACATTTTTCTTTTTTAAGATTCGGAAAAAAATTCTTGAAAGATTCTTATTCTAATTATCTCATAAATTTCATAAATAAAAATAGTGATTTAAAATATTCAGTTAAAATATACAAAAGAAATCAACATATACTATCATTAATGAATTTGAAAACTTCTAAACTCACGAGTTTGAAACAAAATATTTTCATAATATCATGTGTGTAACATTTCAATATTCCAATTAAAAGAGATTTGTGCATATAATCTCTTTTATATGAGACACTTTGTATGCTTATTCGTCCAAAAATAGAAATGTTCATATTATAATTTAAATAAATAGAAAAGCTTATTTGATATTGTCTAATCCAGAAAAATTTATGATTGTTTATCTAACATGAGCTATATTTTACATCAATATATGAACATTAATAATTTAATAATTTATATCTTTCGCTAATGATGAAAACTTTTATTGCCCAAAATGTAAATTTACTTTTTTTAAAGATATTTTCAATTTTACAAAAAAACATAAATTAATAGATTTGAAAATTTTATATGAGATCTAAATTTTTATAGATCTTTTTAATCTAAACGTTCATTCATATTTACACGTATATTTTGTTCAATTCTTGAACCAAAGACTAATTTTAAAATTAAAATACGTCATTATTTATATATACCAAACAGTTAAAGATATTCTTTCCTCAAAATGAAAACTTGAATGATGCTTTTAAAAGAATAAAATATTCTAATATAATTTTCAAAAAATATAAAACGTTTGCATTATAAACTTAATCTGCTATCCTGAAACCTCAAATATTTGATTTCGTTGCAAATTAAAAGAAATAACAAATCTAATTTAATTTTAGATATTTTAAAAATTTCGCATTGCTCTGGAAAATTTTATGTACTCATCCACACAGTGTATCATCCATGTAGATAAAAAAAATTAATCTTTGTAAAAAGAAACAATTAATCCATTTCAACTTCACATTATCAAAATTTCCTTCGTTTCAATTATTTCCAATATTCGTATTAATTCGTCCTCTAATTAAATGCATATACGTTCAGATTCTTACCTTCATACACGTGATTGACATTTGTACTTCCACCAAAGTAGGAGTAATTCAATGACACAACTGATATTACCGATACTCGAACGAGATTGATATTAAATGAAAATCTAGCTACGTTTGATATAACGAACGTGGAATTTTGAGCCTTAACTGTGTATTAACTGCGGTTTAACGGCGTGGTATGAAGGCCATGAGTGTTGAATTTAAACTAATGTTGAAGGTTGAGGCATTCCGAATTATGGAACATTTGGTGTTTACCAACGAATTGCGTAAAACCGCAGGGATGAATTGTTTATATTACGAGTTACATCTTTGTTATCGTGAAGACTGGAAAATTCTGAATCATTGATTTAAAATTCTTAATTCGAATTATTAATAATTAATTTATATCCTGCATAATTTTATTAAATGGGAAAATGATCGAATTATATACTTCCATTTGTAATTATTTAACAAATTTATAAAAATATTTTCCATTTCACAGCAAGCGACATACAATTTAACGTAGATGTTTTGGGCTCCGTGGTCGCCGCAATAAAAGGTTTCCTAATCGGTTATCAAGGTGGCTATAACTCGGGAACGAACAAAATGACGAAGAACGATCTAAGTATGGCTTTCGATTATCAGGACTTCGGTTTTTACTTTCGATGCACCTCGATACCATACGAGTATGGATTGTCTCTCATGTACAAAGGTTACAAATTTTATCTAATTTTTTTAAAAGATCAATTTATACATCAATGCGAAATATTCACAGTGAAAACGGTTTAAAAATATTTATGAAGATGGCGTCCAACCTTCATTTATATCTATCTTCCGGATATCTATTTTATCTAAGTGCAGAAATATCTTCTTTTAAGAAAAAAATATTATGAAAAAAGAAAATTCGTACGAAAATCTTTATAAAGATATACGTTATGCGATATTAATAAAAGTTTTTCTTTTATAAATGGACGTAAAACTCGAATCTACTTTTTTAAATGGAATTCATAATTATATTTAAACAAATTGATCGTGTCGGTAATTTTTTTATTGTTATTTTAACATGGTATATTAATAAACTCTTAATAAACTTCACGTGACCACAATAAATATTTCGTGTAATGATAAATTTTCAAAATACATAACAATCGTAAACGATTTATAGATATATCCATTCTAATTCATGAAATTTTTGTAAAAACTATGTATCATATTTCCTATATTGAATTTTTATTTTATTGTTTGAAAAATTTCTTTTTTTGTTGCAACAAATTCAGGATTTACGAAAAATTTGATTCAATAGATAAATGTGCACTATTTTTCACGACGAAAATTTCTATGTGAAAACACAGATGGAATTTTTACTGTCATCGCGAATATTTCATTCTGGCTTTGTGAATATTTCGTATTGATCTGGAAAATATTTATGATTGATATTTATGATTTATATCAACGTGGAATTTATCATCTAATCTCGAGATAATTCAGTATAAATATTATTACGTGCAATTAATGCATATTTCTAAAAGATTACGAATTAAAGAACGATGAGAATTTTTTAACAGATTTTCTTTTTCATCGATGAGAGGAAATCAATGAAATCGATTTAACTTCCTCGAATAGAATGTAATTTAGTTATTTAATTTTGGAGAAGAGATTTAAATAATCGTGATGGCACTAACGTTGGAGATTCGAATAAACGTAATGGTATTTTCGTTGACAATTCGCAATGTAAAACGATTTCAAATTAGTATGGATCTGATTTAACACGTGGAAACACATTGGATTAATATAATTAGTGACATTAATTTAACGCGCATATTTAGTCCTGCTTTTATTGATTGATTAATATCAATGTAGTTAATTATGGAATTAAATTTGATTTTCTTCGAAACATTAGAGAAGAAATAGTTAATAATTTATATAGTTAATAATTTTTTATTTAATAAGATAATTTTATCTTTTCTAATTATAATGATTTTTTATATCATATTATAAATTTATTTTATATAACATGAAAATTTTCATATTATCAAGACAAAGTAAATATTATTTATTGCAGTTCTATTTAAATCTTTTTTTACGACCAGTTTTTAATTATCTTCACCACACATTTTATTTTGTTCATTAGCATATATCATCGATACATTGATTTTACTTCGATCAATTTAAACTTAATCAAAATCCAATTTTAATTTCTAACTATTTTCCATATCACAATTTCTCTTGTTCCATCCACGAAATTTTATATATATACGTTTTATTGACTTTGAATTATTCATCATCTATATTTAATTTAATCATATGCAAACTAAAATATATTGCATTGCATATTATACTGCATCTTCCTGAAACAAGATAAAAATTTTCGAATAAAAAATTATTCTTCCAATCTTTCGAAATTCATTTCTACGTCAATTCAAAAAAATATTTCTCCACTCTTCTTCTGAAATTCATTTCTACGTCAATTTTCATTCTCATTCGTTCAAAAAGTAAAATGATCGTAGCAAATTTCAAAATTCATTTCTCTGACAATGATAGAGATATTTTTCTTAAAGCAACATTCAAAATATCGGCGACTCGTTCCTTTAAATTCGATGGTTTCCGCTCGAGCAAACTGTTCTCAAACTTTAGTCCGTACACGGTTAAAATATTGCGAATATTGTGCGAACAGAGGGATAAAATTCTCATAAAAGAATTTATTGTAGGAGAAAATGGAGAAAGGAAGGTTGCAGTTCCATTTCACGTGTACAATCGTGAATCTTTTCTTGAGAAAGAGTTGTAAAATGTACTAAATCTGGTCACTTATTTTTCAATTATTTTTTTATTATTGCAATTAATTTCAGATTGTCTCTTAAATTGTAATTCTTGTTAGTCTCTGTTTCAATAATACAAGCTTACAAGAGGTTGAAATTTCTAAATGAGAGAAATACCTTTATAAATGTAAAAATTATTTATTTTTAAATCAATTTTTTCTTTATTTGTTTTCTGTATTTTAGCAATACTATTATTTCAAACGATTGGAATTTTCGAATAAAAGAATAATTTAAAACTCTGTCCCAATGTCGATAATTTTTCGAAGTGTTGAAATTTCCAAACTGTTCCATTTTTCAATTTTTTTTTTTTTTTCAATATTGTTTTTCAATTGTAATTCTCCGTTTCGACAATATGCTCCGTCAAGAGATTGAAATATCCAAATAAAAATAAAAATCACTTTGACATATAGAAATATTCGAAATTTTCGCTTAATTGAAATCTCCATTCTAGTAATACGATTTGTCAAAAAGTTGAAATTTTCAAATAAAAAGAATCAAATGGTTTTTTCAGATTTAATCCTTGAAATATGTGATTTGTACATTTGTCGCCTAATTTCATATATCCATCGCAAGAAAATTGTCATAAATCTTAAAAACTCCATCATTTTTCAAGGATGTGGAAAAAGTTGATTTATTATATGATATTTTAAACATACATATATCAAACAATGTGACAGTGATGCTATCTTATACTATATTTTTGTAAAAAAATTTCCTATGTTCTCGTAGATTCTACTTTAAGATGCACATATGATCTACATCATATATCACTAGACAATTCAGAGAATAGATCCCTAGTTGACCTAGTAATATCGATGACTTGTCCTCTCTCACAATTTTCTGTTGTTAAATCATTAGATGAATACTTTTCACTGGATTAAATTTTTATACGTAAAAGTAAATACGAAAAACATTACGTTTCTCATTTATTTTTTTCACCTAAACTCATCTTTTACAAGCAATTTTTCTTTTTCTTCTTCTTCTTCTTCTTTTTCAATTATCTTACTTTTTCATCATTTTCTCTACCACTTTCGAGTTTCTGAAAGAATTTATTTCCTAAAAAACTCTTTCAAAGATTTTTATGATAAAATATTAAACCAATACTGTCAAGGACAACTTCTTCCTCGAATTTACTATCGATTAAATCGCGAATTTCTAAACTTCCTCCCGATTATCCATTATGGACGAAGTAAACGTCTAAATGCAGAAGTTGCCGAAAGCTCTTAGATCGGGGGATCTGCGAAACACAATGTTAAAGTCCATAATCTTCGGCCTTCATTGTCGAAGGATTATCGAGTTTAACCGTTGAATTCATACCCGTGTTTCCTTTGGCCAAAGATAAAACAACAACATTAACTTCAACCCTTGTTTCTATATACAACGAGAAAAATAGAAAAATTCGTTTTCTCTCTCGATTCGTAATTCATATTAGTTACAATGAAATAACAATAATCAATTTCCATAATGTATAAATATGGAAGCAATATTATTTATCTTTAAAGTGAATTTTTCAGGTATTACATTTTGCGAACCGTGCAATATTTTAAATCGTATTATTATCATCCATAAACTGTAAACCATAAATGAAACATTTAAAACTGATTGTAGAGATTAACATTAGTTATTTTTAATAACTCACGTTGTATGTACACAAAAATTTGCACGATAACTAGAGTGACTATGATAATACGTTCATCGCTTCCATGCATATTTTATAATCCGTCATGTTTACGCTTTGCACAGTCCTGGACGTAATTACTGGGTCCATCAAGAGGAAAATAACCATTCGAGCAACAGCTGGAAATAATGTTGGGTTAACGACTGTAGTTGGCTGGCAAATCTCTGCCTTTTTTCCCTCCAATTTTCCCTTATTCCGGTTTTGATAGCACCGTGTTTTTCTTTTCCTCGATAGCCGAGGAAGGTTAGATTCGATGAATTTGACGGCATGGAAGGTACATAAGTGCCTCCACCGCTTCGTACACCGCAAATTTTCATCGATTTTTCTTGTTTCCTAAGTTGCTGTGCGAGCAACTTGTCGAGTGGCCGAGATACGAAAAGGTTTCGTGAAAGTTTTCGTTATGAGCTTCGTGGCAGAATTTTTCTACGCGAATATCCAGTTCAAAGGAATTAGGTTTGCAATATTTGATATTGGATAACGATATTTTTATTTTAATCTTTCAAATGTAGGAGTTAAGAATTTCGATGATCGTTAAGAATTTGAATTAATTCATCGAAATTTCTTGAATTGTATTATGTATGTATGTATAACTTGCAAGTTTTATTGTTTATCTGGAAAAATATCGTGTAAATAATTAATTTGAAAATTTGAAAAATAATTTCAACAAGATTTTCTAAGCAATTGTATATCATTTATCGATTCTCTTTTTTCAAATGTTTTAGCAATGAAACGAATGGATTATCAATTGTTGTTAATAGGATAATGGCACTCAATTGTACTTTGTCATGTTTATAAGGATTTCATTTCGTAGATTATAATTATAAGATAACTGCAAGCTTCGTTGTGAAAGCTCTAATTTTCTCAACAGTATCAGAGCTGTGAAGGTGTGTATATATATATATATATGTATATATGCACGTAATTAAGCTAGTACAAACAAACTCTGTTGTATATACATACATGTAGTTACTAGGTTGCTTAATTAGCAGCATGTACGATAGTGAAAGTTGTTACAGAGCAGCGTGTTCTGTCGCAAATTTTCGCCTGGTAATAAAACTTTATGGATTTTTTCCAAAATCAAATTCTGCATACAAAGAAATGCTATCTTGCATTTTCGAATAATTTTTTTTTCTTTTTAAGAAGAAGAATTAAAATCTCTTATCACTTTTGATGATACACCTTGCACGTAATTTTCACGTAAAATTTTTTAAGATTTATAAAAAAGATTAATTAGAATTAAATTTTTTAATCAATTAGTACACAAGCTAAATTTCGAACGAAATTTAATAATTTTCCATATTTATAATCTCTCCACGTTAGAATCCACGTTGGAAACGTTGGATTCATTTAACTAATTTAATGCTCAATTCTTCTTATTATATTCTTATATTAATCTTCTTACGATTTAAACATCAACCCCTCGATAATCAATTTAACGACCATATAAAATTCAATATCATAGAGTGAAATAAATCGTTTTATTCCTTAAAGGGGATGCACGTTAAAGACAAAGAGATGTAACGATATTTTTCGTAATTTTTCAAGTGACCGAAGAATGGGACACGGCCGTTAACAGTATTGTATGCAGAAATGGTGGAATGATACAATGGATGGTCGGCGCTGCTGCTAAATGGAAAATCGACGACACATCGACGTTCCGTTTTAAATTCAACAGCGATCTTCAACTTGGTATGAGTCTACAGCAGAAACTGGACGACAATGTCATGTTAACCCTGTCGTTTAACATCGATTGTATAAACCCTCTGAGAGGTGGCCACAAAGTCGGTCTGGCCCTTGATATCGAGGGCTGAACCATTAAATGAATCGGGCATTTCGAATTTTCTTTTTTATAAAAAAAATGCTCTTTGACACCTTTAATTTTTTTAGTGCACTTGTTTCTCGTTTATATATATATATATACATATTGTATTGTGTTGTGATATTAAAATGTCCGATATTATTAATATTAAAATAATATTTGCAAGTGATTCGTCCTTTCGATTTATTTGCATTTTTTCAACAATCATTCGAAGATAATGAATTTCTTAAGTTTTCCTTGTTACGATATTTTTTTTAAGTATTTTTATTTTGTTTTTTTCTAAGAAAAATATTTTATTTTATTCTCTTCTTTTTTTTTTTTTTGCTATATGAATTTTTAGAAATTTCTTAAAAATCAAAAGATAAATGAACGACAGATGGCTGATAAAGTTTGTAAAAAAAAATAAACATTTCTATATGTATTTTACAGTTTTAACGATTGTAGTTTCTTTATGTCACGATATTTTTTTTTAATATGATTATAACATTATATATCAAGGTTCAAGGATTTTGTAAGGTTCTCCAATTGTTGAAAGAAGTTCTTTGCATTATATTCTGGAAAAAGGAGGTCATCGTTTGTTGACTGAATCCTCGCAACTCTTTTTAATTGCCATATTTAATCCGACAATATTTGGAAAAATTTCATTATCCGATAGAGATTCAAGACGGATGAATACTCGTCTCGAAGATTAAATATTAATTTATAAATACGAACTTCGGAGACGATCGTCAATTAAAATTAATTGTAATTGCAATAATGCAATGTAGCAATTTACCACGTTAATGAAATATTTTTCTCTCATCTTGTAGAAAACGATTTAAATAATTCCAAAATCAACAACACACGAATTAACGAAATCTTTTATCTACGAACGATAGGAAATTATTCGCCCATAACAATTCAGAAACATCGATTAAATACAACAATTAAAATGTAATAATTTATTATTAAAATTATGCGTGATATTCGTCTCACGAAATATATAAACCCACGAAACAATTCGAGGCGTGTTTATCGAAATTTCACACGAATATAACCGCGCGTTAATTTCCACTTTACTCGATTTCAATCGTTGAAGTAGCACGTATCGCTCCCTCGTTTCGAATAAGTGAGGAACGTAATAATTGATTTCACCGCCTGTTTTAATAAATGTCCACGATGACTTGGTGCGCGTAACATATTCCTGAAGGATATAACGGATATTTTTCGTTCCCCGGTGGCAACAGAATCGGAAATTAATGGGGCCGGAAACGTTATTGATCTTGTTGCTGACGCGTAGCGATCTATTGTTAATAGAAAAAAAAAAAAAAAAAGCAGCTTGGTCCATTCTTTTCCACGGTACGGATGAAAATTTGCCAACTTAAAGGGGATCGTTCGAGCTTAAGACGGCTATTCAAACAGCGAAATTGAAAGGAAGGATTTGTCTCGGATTGCTCGAATTTGTACACGATATTGCACAATAGTTATTCGTTTAAATGAATTTTAACATCGGCCTCGAATCAAAGCTCTGTCGAAGCTTTTTTTCCAAGAAATTTGTTTCTTCGATATATTAACTCTTTCCTATACGTGATGCATGTTACGATTTTTGCTTTAGAATAAACGTGTGTTATTTTAAAGGCACTTTTATACATTACAAGCAACGACAAATTATCTCATCACTCATCTGGTATTGCGATATTATTTATTTCCTTCTTACTTTTTCTCTCAAAATCTTTTTTATCCATTGATAAAAATTGTTAATTGTTAAAGAGTTAATATTTATTTCCGCAACATTATTGTTATTACCTTAAAAATTCGTAAAATTCGTAAAAACAAGTTTTCATCGTAATTCATCCCCACTGCTCCAATCCAAAAACGTCCATCGAAACTTTCCCAGAAATTGGAAATTTCCTAAACGTTACGAACGTTAAACGGCTGTCAATATTCGAAACGTGGAGAAATTAATTGCTCGTGCAACATAATATCGTATAATATTCTCTGGAGAATTAATAGAGACACGGACGGGTGAATAATGAAAACACTCTCTCACCTTGTGTCGAGGAACCGCTGGCATACTGCTCGTTCTTCCACGATACTGTCTTGGCCCTGGACCTCGAGATCCCGTTGGACCAGCAGGGCTGGTTGGGCTTGGACCTCCTGGACTCGCTCCTGGACTCAAATGAGACGAGGCAGACACTGCTCCAGGGCTTATTGCCGGAGTTCTGGTGGGACTTCTCGGCGAGGGCGATAAATGACCCCAAGGGCCGGTTTCCGCTTGCAGAAACCTATTGTTGGGATGAGAGGAATTTAGAATCGTATATTACGCTTGGGTTTCGATGTTACACGTGGAACGAGCTGCATTAACGGTGCATACGACATTCGTATATGTCGGGCGGCCAGGTCAGAGATTTTCATCTTTTTCTCTTTTAATGGAAATGGAAAATGAGTTGTTAATAAGTTGTGAGGAATCGTTTGGTGATGGAAATGATATTTTATTTAAAGAAATAATAATGTATTGTGACGATTTTTTTTTTTTAATCGAAATGATAACTGTTAATTTGAATAGGTTGATATTGTTTTGGGAAGAGTTGGATTCCGTTTTGAAGGAAGTTATTATTATTACTATAGCTGCTACTCGAGACTTTTATTACAAATATTTAAAATATGAATATTAATGTTCGATTTTACATTACAACGTGATTCTACTTCGATTCGATTGTTGTTATTCTAAATAAGCAGATAGGATATAAATAATATAAATTTACCACATGCGAATCTTTTTAAAAATTAAAATAATAACTCGTTTTTACTAAGATATCTAATAACAACAAAGAGCTATAACGAATAATTCGAAGCATAATAATTTGAAACTTTTTCAAAATTAAGAATAATTACTAATTATTTGAATGATAGGAAATATACTACTGTATAAAAAATCCTGTATTAAAAAAACAAAACTGGGTAGAAGTAGTATTTAACAAACTTAACTGTATGATACTGTTGTTTAAAAAAGGCCCAACCAATTTCCTTTAAAAAAGAAAATAAAGAATATTATTCGAAAACACAAATGTTTACACGTTCGCTACCAATGATATTAGTTTCGAATCCACAACAAAATTAGCAAAAGATTCGGCACAAATCATTGTAGAACTAGAATGAACATTATTTGCAATAATATCGAAACGCACACAGTAGTAAACGTGTATCATTAACATCTAAATAAAATTTCCTATCAGACAATAACAAAAAGAGAGAGAGAGAAAATTAAAAACGGACAATATCGATATCAAAAGCTTACCTGTGCAAGTCTGGTGTTGGTCTGGCGACTGCTATGCTTGAACTACGACGTCTCGAGGTGGTCGGTGATTTCGGACCATCCACGCTCGAGTGTCCTTGGGATCCTGTCAAAGAGGTACGGTGCAGGCGAACCTCGACCTCGCTGCTCCTCCTCTGGAATGCCCTTTTGCTCCATCGTCTGCTCTTCGAGTCGGTGTTCGATGCCTCCTGCTTTCTGAAAGTACCGTCTTCTGTTAGCATAAAACGTAATTGGACCTTTATTTTTGCCGCTGGAGGGAAGAGGGGGGGGGGGGAATTGTTTCGAACAGGTCAAGTGATTTTCGACGTCTTTTCGCTCGTGAAAAATAGGGAGAGCTTACTTGGCCAGATCTCTGGCCGAGATAAGTTCGTTTCTCTCTCGGTAGATGTTCAGATAGTATAAAGGGTAGGAACATCTTAAGTAAGGGTTTAAGGTAGAAGGATTAAATTTCGTTGGTGTTATTTATTTGGCGAGTCTCACGCGTGAAATTAGTGGTTTAATCATTGTTCTCTTTGTGGATCTTTTCTGTGATAAGATTGCTTGTTTCTTCTGAGTGTTTATGATTGAGAGATTAAACTTGATGTTCGTTGTTGTTAGAAGGTATTAAGATATAAATATGAAATTATTTTCGTATTATTTTGTTTTAATTTTATTTTTGATATCGAAGAATTGTTTTCTTTAAAATTGTTAACTTTGATTTGCCTTATTTTTTTTTTTTTTTTTAGATTTAATGGTTAATAATATGCGATCTTACGTTTTATCACGTTATATTATGCACGAGAGTTAATATTTCCTAATGAAAGATTTTTTTAATCCTGAAGAATAATTTGATTTATTGTGAAATAATTCAAAAATATATATATATATATATATATATATATATATATATATATATATATATAT